TTACTTTATGTCACAATGTTTATTCCTTTTAGCTGAGGAAAGTTTTACCTGAATGAAAACTGGAGTAAAACAAACTCTTCTGTTCTAGGGATTCAAAATAGTTTCTCAAGAAATTTCCTGTTCTTACATTATTTTCTCAAGAAGCATGCTGTAGCAATGTCACAAGTTCTTAATGTCTTTTTGTTGTTGAAAATACAGCCTTTGTGTAATTCTTGTGTCCTATGATGATGACCTGGGGCAGATTTACTACCCAGTATAGCCATGCCTTAAAACAATGAAGACCCTGAACTCCTTATTTCAATACAAGTAACAATTAATGCAAATGAAAGCATCAAATTTTTGGCAGATTTGACATTTTGGAACCCCCTAAAACCTCAAAGCAGGCCAGGGGCCAGTCTCTAGACTGGAGGCCAATCCCCTCTTCTGAGTGGCTAGTTCTCATGAGGCTAATCTCTCTTCCCCTCAGAATAGAGTAGCCTTGCTCATACTGCTGCTTGGAAATAATCCTTGGAACGTGCTGCCTACCAAACGGTGCTAGTTTACATGGGCCTAGCAGGGCCAGAAAGAATAACAAGCATTAAGCCAAGGCCTAAGCCCAGGTCCAACTTCCTTTACTAGTATAGCTGTAGTGGGAAAGAAGAGGCAGAAAGCCTGTGAAGGTCAGATGTAAAACCTGGGATGCTGGAAACAGACTGTCTTTCAACATAGCTCTTTCAGAACATCTCCACCATGTCAGGCCTTGTTAGGGAGCAGTGAGGGCCAGCTGCTCCCCAAGGGGTAGGGAGCTGTGAGGTGAGCACAATAACACAGCCAGCTGGTCAGAGGTCTCACTAGCCATGATCCTGTCCCACAGTACCTGCACAGGGCAAGCAGTGCAGGCCCAAGGATGGTGGTCCAAGAGTCCAGATCATCAGACAAGTTCATAGTGATGAACCAAGTCCAAGATCAAGCTGAGAACTGAACCTGCAGACCATGGTCAGGAACAGGCCTGGTGAAGGTAACACAATCCAGTGACCACTGAGTAAGTCCATAGTGATGAGATAGGTCTGAAGTCCAGGAAGTCAGCCTGCAGGTCAGGGTGCAGATCAGTGGGGTTCATAGCCAGAGAGGGGAATGGCTGTGACTGAGCACTCCTCCAACATAGTTCAGGCCCAGGGGTGAGCTGAAGTGGAGCTCCTGAGCCTGTGGGTGGGGCAGGTAGGGTGGACGCCCCAGGTGAGCCTAGTCAGGGCTATTAAGGCCTGTCAGTGCCCTCAGGGCTGTGATAGGCCTCAATGACCTTGTTCTTTTACCCAGAGCTTTGGCTGAAGTTTGATTTCGACCTCAGATGAGCACTGAAGTGGAATCAATCTTTGCAGCGGACCCTCAATGCAAATTAACACAAGACGTTCAGCTATTGCTCAGCCTCAATGCAGCAAGGCATAGACTTCTTATCTTTCAGTGCATGCAATCTGGATAATCAGTTTTCTGTTGAAGATCAATTTTCTCTAGTTGTAGGTGCTTAAATGGGCTGAAGGAAGACACTTTTCTGTTGAGAGGAATGAAGTTCATTCTGGATATTGGTCCAAGGTGATGCTCTGCTTATGTGTCAAAAATAGGCAAATCAAAAATACAGATGCTGTTAAGGGAGAAAGGGCTAGCAAACTTTCCCTCACCATACCCCTTTTTTTGAAGTTGGCTGTATACATGCTGCTTTGTCCCTGTGCTCAGCGCACAGGTAGATCAAATAGAGAACAAGGTCTGTGTAGTTCCCAGTTTTAATATATTTATCTCTTTACAGGCAGAGTTGAAAGTCTAAGCAAACACATTTTCATCCTTTTATAATCACACAGCAAACTGGCGCATTCTCTGCCCCTGAGTTTATAAACCAACTTTCTTAGATACCAGATGCTGAAAAACCAAGGCACATAAAAAATTGGCTAATATAGGAGTTGCCAGGAGAAAATGCAGTCTTTTGAGTGTGACCTTTACAAATAAAGGTGAAGGGTGTACCACCAGCTTGCATGCAGACAGAGGAGAAGCCAGAGAATTGATGGACTGCTGATGCCCTCGGACAAGAACGTGCCTTTCCGTTTGACAAGATGGGTTATTCTCCTGAAATCCTTTTCCTGTCCGTGAGTACAGGATTGGATTTGATTTGCTCAGAGAGATGCTGAATATCATGGTGGAATATTTGCTTGGATCCAATTTCAGAGCTCAGGAGAGCCAGGCAGGGTCTGGAGTGATCTGGAGTCCTGTTGAGAAATCCTCCAAAGATGATCTTGAGCTGAAAAGATAGTCATCCTGAATGCCTGGCTGGGAAGAAAAGGCTAAAAGAGCAGGGTAAAAGCTACCACTCCTCACAGATTTATTCCACAGCAGTACTTGCACAGGTTGTGTTAAAGCCATAAAAACTGTGCAGAAGTCCTGCTGTCTGGCTATAGTCCTGTGACTGACATCTGTGAAAAGAACCTTGAGAGTTTCAGTAAAAAAAAGATATCAGGATTTTTCACAAGAGAATGAAGTTTCAGCTACTCATCTGCTTGTTTGGCCATATGTCTGCCAGCCCTGCTATGCAGCTATTGAATCTCTTGATCATGTCATCTAGACTGAACAGAAGAGCAGAAATCATGGAGACAGGCAGTTCCTACAAGTCTCGTGAAAACCAGAGTCTGACAGAAGGAAGAAACACCAACAGACTCCTTCAAATGAGGCTGCAGCATGAGCCGAGCAGCCCTCTGCCCTGTTTGCCCTGTGTTGGGCCAGCTGGCACAAAGAAACTGCAAGAGTGGGCTGTCTGTTACCCAGGGTTCAAAAATAAATGTGGTCTGTTTTCTCTAATTGCCCTCAGGGCAGATTTATATGTTTCTCTATCCATCCAGAGAGCTGACATCCTCTTTTTTCTGTTGTTTCGCGTATGGAAACTGGTATAAACCCCTCAGTGGAGGAGCAGGGACTCTAAGGGACACCACCAAGTGCTGCGATACCTGTGATTAAAAACTGGGAGTTGGGCAGCTCTGCTGGTCTGTGCTGCGGCCTCTGTAAGAGCCAGTCAGTAAATGCCAGAGGGAGACTGGATAACTGCAATGTCAGTGTGGAGAGGGGAGAGCAAAGGATGCAGGCTGGGTCCTTGGAGCAGAAGGCTGCAAACGTTTGAGGAAGGGGATGGAGTGCCACAGAGCCTGGAGGAGATCTGGATCTCTTCACAGAGGTGCAGAAGTCTGACATTGTGCATGTGCGGCCTGGAGCCAAGGCAAGGAAGAATCGCTTCATCCCCCTGTGCCCGTCAAGCCAGCGCGTGTCCTGCCAGCTGGCTCTCCAGGTAGGCAGCCTGTTGGAGGAGAAGCTCAGAGATGTGAGGTGTCCTCAGCACAGGGGCACTGGAGAAGAAGTGGGCTTTAGTTGCACTAATGTTGCAAGAAAGGCAGTAGGACAAGAAGTCAAATGTTAACGGCCTGGGCAGGCGTATTAGCGCTACACAGCTGCTCTGGGAGGTGAATCTAACTAAGCTGTGACCTAAAAGTGTGATATCATCCTGCCCTATTCCTGGTATTTGGGAAGGGCTAGAACGGGAGCAACAGTCTTTAACTCATCTCTGCCTATGCACTGTACACCTACCAGCCAGCTCCGTACTTCCTGGGGATTTCCCCCTCAACTCTGCCTTGTCCAGTGTAGACAAACCCATGGTGATCTTGAAGCACAAGGGACCTATTGCATGTCCCAGGATTAGTTTATGTAACCTATTTGCTCTAACCATCACTAGCTGACAGCAGATGGTTAGAGACAGGAAATAACCCAGCAAGTTGGGCTGGGAGAAACTGGGATTCTGTGGGTCAACCTGGAAAATTAGGTGAGAGAAATCAATTTGTACAACACCACAAAGAAATGAAACAGGCTTTTGGACAATTCCTACCCACAACAATCCGCAGATGTCCTTTTGGGGTACTGCAAATAGGACCTTGATCTGAGGCAGAACACTGTATTTTCAGATATTTCCACACATTGGAAATGTTCTTTGTATTTGATGTATTCCTATACAATGTAAAGTGTGGGTGGTTTGGGTGGAGAAAATTTATGCAGAACGTTTTTAACACAGCATATCCTGGACTTTGAACCACTTCCTCCAGCAGATTTTGCTCAGCTTGAACTACTTACTCATTGCCTTGGAGCCAAATGCCCGGAGAGCTTCAGAGCTTTCAAAACTCCATTTTACTTTTTTCGGATTTACTTTTTGTAGAAGAAGAAAAAGAAGATCTCTAACTCTGCCCCAGGTCACAGAGATCCTCCTTGGATGTGCCTGCTTGTCCCTCCACTTCCTTTCTGATGCCCAGAAATGTGAACACCACTCTGAGGCTCTTTTGCTGTTGCTCCTTGCAATATGCTAGGTTTGTTAGCGTGATGCCTGCAGCTCATTCATTTTTTGCAGAATGGGAGCGCTGGCTTACTGTGCTCCCAGGGACATCGAGTGTCTTGTGGTGCAATAAGGCACTGGCATGTTGCATGGTAGAAAATGGTCCTGGAGGCAATGAGAACTGGCTCACTTGCCCACTGCTGGGGGAGGGAACTGTTGCAGCTGGCTGCCTCAGGTCCTCTTCTCCAGAGACATCCTTGCTGCCTTCTTACCAGTAAGTCACCCTAGTATAAGCAGCAACCTTAGTAGTGTGCTTTAATATAGCGCATTAATAACAGCTTTCCCTTGTGAGGAAAAGATACATGGCTAAAGCATCGCTGGTCTTTATCTTGGATGTTTCAAGCAACTCAGTGTGGCTGGACTTTCAGGTCCTTCCACAGTCCAAAGTACACCTCTGCAGGGAGCAGCACTCAGAGCTCCTGTTTCTAATTTCTCTCTTTCCCCCCTCCTCCCCCCCCTTTATTTCTGTGACTCTGCCCCCAGCACAGCTCACCTCTGGGCAGCAGGAAGTGGATTGTCATAGGTCCTGGCACACTCTTT